TTTTTTTTTCTTGAAGTCAATAGGGTTAATTAACAGAAGGTGTACTTAGCTATATCTATATGAATAAAAAGCTTGTATATACCCCTATCATCAATGAAAAAATCAGTTCATTTGCTCAAGCCATAATGGAGATATTTAATTTTTTTTTCTTTGGTGCGTGACTTTTGGACCACCCTGTACTTCATTTGAAAGATCAATTCCAATAAGATTTTATAGTTTATATGTGAAATTGATAAAACAAGTAAACTATGTGATTTTATTCTACTCTACTTTATCACATAATCATGAAGTGCGCCATTTCTATTGTCGTTACTAAAATATTGACATATGAAAGACACAATTTTATTTTAACTTCTACCACAGAACATAAAAGAAACACAAACTCACTATTCAATATATGCTTTTAATAAATAATTAATATGCCATATGCGTTTATTAGATCTTTTCTTTCTATATAATGAAAAAATAAAGAAAGAAAAAGGTAAAACTGAATTTGTTATCATACTTTCTCAGAAGGTGAAGAAAAAGTCAATAGGATATTTAGTTTATTCTATCCATATTTATATTTCTCTTTATTCTTCCTTTTCATATGAAGAAAAATTCTAGGTAATGTAATCATTGGCATTCATTCATTTTTTGTTTGTGTCACTAAAGAAACCTATAAGAAGACATATACACGTGTATTCACAAAAAAATGTTCTTTTTCTTTTTCTCTTCATTGCCACTATTATTTTATATATTGTCTCAATTCCGGTTCAACATATGTATATTTAGAGCAAAATTATATCACCATGTTTGTCTTCAGAATACTACGACATAATAGACGTTTATGTTCAACAATTATATTATTACTAATTGCATTTTGTTTCTCTCGACTTACGTTATATTTATATCGTAAAGATTTAATTCAAAATATTCCATCATCGATCATTGTTAAACTAGACGCGCTAGTTTCTTCAACTACAATAACAACAGAAAAAAGCATTCTGATAGGTAATATTATTCTTTTCAATTAAATTTGAAGTCTAATCTTCACTCAATAAAAATTTCAGATATGATTTACAAAAAATTTGAATACTAATATTTGACTTTGTTACATTTCTTTTAATTTGCTCAATTTTTTTTATAGATGAACCTGAATTATCAAAGACTATTGGAAAAAATACTTTTGATCAATATTCAAGTGATGAACATCTTCTTTCACTTCTTACTCAATATTCAAATACATTTAAACAAGTTGTTATAACTATCATTGGTGGTGATAGTTATTCATTATTTGCTTGGGATTGGTATGAAAGAATGCGTGAAACATCAAATAATACAAATAAATGCCATTGTTTTGTTGTTGCTATGGATGAAATTGCTGTTATATTAGCTATAAAACAAGGTGTACCTGTTTATTATTCTACATTTACATTTGAACAACAAATCAATTGGATAAATAGTATAGAAGCAAAACAACATTCTCTATATCGTGTTGGTCATGCAAAATTTGATACAACTGCTAGAATCGTCCGAATGGGTTATTCAGTTATTTTAAGTGAAATGGATGTTTTTTGGTATGAATTAAATACTGGATTTTTTAAAGAAAATTTTAATAGTTTTTATTATTTTTAGGAGAGCTTATCCATTAGATCATTTAAAACAACCAATTAATGCATATGATTTACAAATAAGTGATCATTTCGGTTCACATCCACGAGTCAATATTGGTATATTTTTTGTTCGATCTACAAATACATCAGTAGAATTCTTCTCGTTTGTTGCCGATTTTTGGTTACGTTATGGAAAAGGTGGTTTTTTATCTGATCAACGTGTACTAGATGCGTTCCTGAAAAATTATGATCGTCTCGATAAAACATATTTAAAAGCAATAAAAACAATTCCAACAGTATACTGGGCACCACATGCATTTGGTTTTCGTTTTTCACATATGATGACGGATGGTAATGCTTTTGAACTATTTGATCGTGCAGAAAAACTTGGAATAAGATCACAAAAATATTACGGTGATCAAAATACAAAATATTTTACAGTTACAGTATCAAATACGTAAGAAACAATTAATGAATTTTTTTTTTCTAATTTTTGTTTTTATTTCTATTTTATAGTGCTATGACGATTAATAATCGAAATCTTCTTATTCGTGCTTTACTTATCTTACAATATACACATCTAAAAAATCGTATACTTATTTTACCAGCTTTTACACATAGTTTGGCTGCTATTACACTTAGATCTCAACTTGATGAGAAGAAATTTCTTCTCTATTGGTCTGATAAATATATTCGTTTACCAAGTTTTCTTTTACATAATAAAACTCGTTCGATACCTATTACAAATTTAACATTATCATTGAATAAAAAATATGACGATATAAATGGAATATTAAATTTGTCTATTGATTCTATACCACGTAATTTACCAGCACCTTCACCACAATTTGAAGTATTAGTTCGAGATTCTCTTTTATGGTGCTCACCACCAGTACAAAATGGTAGAGGATGGTGTAGTCATCATCCAAGAGATTTTGGTGCAACAATGGAAATATTATTTGCTTGTCGAGGTGATCCATATCCACCATGTGCAGATAAAACAGAAAAAAATGAACAATTTCTTTATAGACCATATGAATAGTAAATAAATTGAATTATTATCTTTTATTTATAGATTAAAAAATTATTTTATAATTATGAATTCATACCTAGTAAGTATTGTCAGATTAAATATAATATTAATATCATTTTCTAACATCTCAATTAATTCTTTTTTTGGCTGAATGCACAAATGAAATCATAAAGAAATATATTTTTAACTATATAACATAACTTTTCTTTGATAATTTGTGAAAGTAAATATTTATTTAGTATGGTATTCGTAGCAGTTTCAATGCAGAACGATGAAAATCGTTGTATGTAGAAAAGGCCATCAGCCTATCACTAGAAAATTGCGATGTTTATCATATGTATCGTCTTCATTTTACTCACCTCATTCTATTAATGCGGATAAAAAAGACGGATGGATAACAATTTGTTTTTACAAAAGATTGTCTAAAGAAGAGAAAATGGTTGAGTTTATTAATGCTATACAGTTTCAAAAGTGTCTTCGTTATTTCTATTGGTACACATGATTTTTATAAAAGAATTAAAAATATGAATATTAGTTAGGATGGGAGATGAGAATCAAAATGTTGAACAAATGCAATGCTCTTTCTAACAATTTCATTCAGATAGTATGTCCGACACTTTTGTACAAGTACACCTGTATGACATGTCTATAATATACTAAAGAAAAGTTCGTTGATTGAACAATTAAAAACGTTCTGAAGGTTACACTAAAAATTTCAATACGTAGCGGAAGATTTCTAAAACATAGTAATGACGTAATACGTTGAATTTAATACCTTTCCTAAGAAAATTACACTATGTATGATAGAAATAAAAAATATTACTTTTTCATTTAAACATTATTAGCCATTCAGTTTATTAAAAGTTTTGATTTTTTATGAGGAATTTCGCTACAATTGTGAAACGATTTAAAAACTAGTTGTTGACACATTCACATTAGTATATAGTCATGTGATCCAAACCAGATCAAAAACCGCTAACTGATTTCGGTTATTTTTTAAAATCGGTGAGTTAGCTGTGATTATTTTCTTTGTTCTCAGCATTTTACTGGATAAAAATCGACAATTAACCGACGGTTTTCGATTCGGTTCCGATGACATGGGTGCAATTTAAGACATTTATATCTGGATTTGTAGAGAGTTTTACGGGCTATCAGAATATATAATCACCTTTTTGAGCACAATAATTTATAACGATGATATATTAAAAACACTGAGTATAGCTATTTATTTTTACGTTACAGTCACCTTTCGAAAACGAAAAAACACACAACTCGTTTCATAAAACAGATAAATATTTGATTTCTTTTATTCGGCCGAGGCATTCGGTTCATTTTGACTTTCTCAAAATCCTATATGACGGTCACAACGAATTACTCATTGTCGTTATCAATACATAAGAATACAATTAAATAATTAACTAAATTAAAAAAAATTTCGCGGTACTCATCAAGATTGAAATGAGAAGAATTGTATTTATTTACACTTTTTCTTTTGTTAAATACTTCTCTATAATATATTCCTGTTTACACGAGTCAAAACTACTATGATGACCAGGATATAATATAATCATGCATCATACGAATCGAAAGAAAAAAAACTTTTCCTTCATTACTATTTAATATGAAATAATTCGTGAATGGTAACATTTCAATAAATTGATGAAACATATTCAACGGTATCTATATACATAGCTTACATGAAAAATTATTTGTTGTCAAAAATAAATGTAATGCGTCAAAATGTTTTATCTAACGACATTTTAATCAGAATAATCTATTTTCTAATTGAATTTTGTCATAAAATAGAATAAGCAGCTTTTTGCTCTAGTAGAAATAGTATGGTAGACTTATAAATGTTGATAATAATTTCTGCAAGTTCTATAATTTACATATATTTTTACATCAGTCAATTGTTACAGATAATTTCTTTAAAGCTTAAATATTATTGTTTTCGAGTTCAGTTCCAATTCGTGACACTCACTATTGGGTTTCTAAACGGCCGCATCCTATACTCCAAAACACGACAGATTTTATTTTAGTATAAAAGTAATTAAGTTATATGACGTTTGATGTTTCAAGTATTGTCGTCTCCATCAGATTAAGAAAGTATTAAACTGTCACTGTGAAAAATGTAAAAAAGTTTACTATTACTTACTTTTTCTTTGTAGAGTCTAAAAGATTACATTTTGTATAAACATGAATTCATCCGATAGTCACTATATTGAACTACTCGATAGTAGTATTATTTATATTTATCAATATTTCGTTTCAACATTGTTTGTTTTGGGTAATCTAGGAAACTTACTAAATGTCATCGTATTTTCTATGAAATCTTGGAAGAAAAATGTTTGTGTATTCTATTTTAATGTTTGTCTTTTTCTTAATACATGTTATATTAATTCAAATCTACTAGCATCTATTTTTATTGTAGGTTTTAATGTTAACATACAAAATATAAATGTTGTTTTATGTAAAATGTATTATTACGTATCATTTCTTTTTCCTACACTCATACCAAGTGTTTTAAGTCTTGCATCTATCGATCGTTTATTGATATCTTCTCAAAATATTGATACACGTTTGTACAGCTCTAAACGTTTAGCTTATTTCTCTATCAGTATTTGTATTACTTTCTGGATTCTATTCTATATTCATGTTCTTATTAAAGTCCAAATCGAAGAAGTGTATCCTTCAGTGTTAAGTTGTTATTTTGATCTTTTACAATCGTATCGTTATTTTGTTTCTTACTCATCATTACTTATCAGTTTTGCTTTGTGTTTTATTATGATTATTTTATGTATGTTTGCTTTCAAAAATGTTCGTCGTATTCGAGCTAAACCACATCAACAACGACATGAAGTACGAACAATGACAAAAAAAGATTTTCAATTACTTCGTTGTTTGTTCGTACAAGATGTTATCTTCATTCTTTTCAGTATACCTCTAAGACTTTCCAGCGCTTATCAATCGGCCACAGCTGATAAAATAAGAACACCATTACAAAAAGCCACCGATGATTTCTTTAACAATTTTAGTACAGTTCTTCATCATATTCCTTACTGTGCTAGTTTTTACATATTCATATTAGTATCAAAAGCTTTTCGACATGAACTCAAACGAATGATTTTTAAAATAGTGGGAATAGACATACCATCAATACAACATGAAGAAAAGAGACTGAACAATGCTGGAAGAGAGAATGTCGAATTAAATATTGCTGTTGTTACTCGTATTGAATGTTGAAATTGATTATCAAATAAACTAACAGATATTTCACAAACGTAATCTCAAAATTGAGAATCTAGTTTTATCCTTTTACGAATATTAACAGTTAATAAATTAATTACAAAAAAAGTAGGGATTACACGATTTACTTTCCATTGATTAAAAATAGAAATTATTCTAATTAACTAATTTCTTGTATGTAGATTTACTCTCCGTTGATCATATTTAGGCCCTATAAAATTGATAATGAGTATAGTCATAAGCACAAAATGCTATAAGAAAATAAATTTTGTAAAATTTACTTGTCTTCTCAAAATAGGTTTTAGTAATTTTACTTGCATATTCTGTTGAACAGAGAGTACGAAGTTCCTCAATACTTATATTTTTTTTATTGATCTTATGGATAGGTACAATATGAATACAATACTCACAACCATACCCTAATTTGGGATGATGATGAACAGCTACGATTACTTACCGATCGTATACGAGAAGAAGCTGGTCGTGGCACTGGATGGCATAGATTAAGTAAATTATTCTCTAAAATTGGTCAATTTAACAAGGCTGAAGAACTTAATAACATATTTCTCTAATAGACATTTGCTGATTGTTACATCATAAATACCATCGTGATGATGTAAGACGAGAGAGAGTGATCTCTTCTAGTATAATGGTAGTGCGTCTGCCCGGATAGCAGGAGGTGCGTGGTTCAAATCCCGCGAGGAGCATCATCTTTTTCGTTCTGTCGTGTATCACACCCGCTCCTTTTACCGACTATGTAACTCTGATGGTGAAAAGGTACTTTTTTATAATCAGCTTGGATGTGTCAAGGATGATCAGGGCGGTTATGAAAAAGCTATTTGGTAATACGAACAAGGATTTGAAATTCAACAACAATTTTTCCCTTCAAATCATCCTTCATCACCTACTTCATACAATAACATTGCTTGGCTTTATAATAATGTGAAAGAATACTCGAAAGCACTTTCATACTACGAACATGCTCCAGACATCAAGCAACGTACATTATCTCCAATTGATCCAAGCATTAGAAATGTGAAAGAGAGTATTGAAATTGTAAAAACAAATTATAAAGAATATTTTCTTCACTTCTTTTTGAATTAGTTCTCTTTTGAAGGTGAGTGTCGGGTGTGAAGGACAGGAAAAGCAAAACTCATATCCATCTACCTCACAACCACATTCTTTTTTTTT